TCTATTAGACCATCAGAACCTTTATACTGCCCATGAAAATATACTGCGAACATAAATGCGTTAGTTCTATTTGAAAACAAAACTCTTCTAAATCCTATTGCCTTTGCATCTGAAGGACTTTGAAGCCAACGAATTGGATAGTCAAACCTGTATGCTCGGGATGAAATTTCTTCATCTGATATTGTCCTACCAGCATTTGTAAAGATATAGTCTAACGGTTTTGTATCTGCTACTTTTGTTCTTTGTTTTTCAACCTGAAGCATTTAATATATGTAAAAATATATTGTTTTAAAATGGTATGACATTTCATATTTCTCATCTAACAAACAAGTTTCCCAATGGTCTTCTCCAACAAACTCAGCGTACATTTCAAATAAAATTAAAAAAATGTCACTTTTTTTAAAATAAATTTTTTATTTCATGCAATGTTTTATTTCTGTGCCGTCTTCAAGTATGCCCCAATATTTCCTTTTCGATATTACATGAACTTCGGAAAATACCTTATCTAGCTTAAAACAGCCCATCTTTTCACCGACTAAACCCATTTCAATGAGTTTGTTGTATCCTATGAGTGCGTCAATGTTCTCATAGTAAACCTTGACTTTGGATTTGACTTCGGAGAAGAATTTGTTGTAGTTGTCAAGTACTGCTTTTGCGAACTGAGGGTAAGACCAATGTTCGACAATAGGTTTTAATGTGGTTACTAAGCCACTTTGACCTTGAGTGAATTCGTACTTCAAAACAAAAGGAGAAAACCTTTCAACAAAGTTGTCGACCTTCTCATAATGTTTACTCTTCATCTCTTGAGGTTTCTTAATGGAATATCCCCATGTCGAATTCATAAGCAATTTGAGTGTCATTGCAAGTTTGGGGTTTGAAGCTTTCCTAATATCATACAGTTGTTGTATGACTTTTCCAACTGTATAGTTCCTTCCCGGGAACTCACCATCTTCGTTTGGAATTCCAGTCGGAATATATTGGACAAACCTCATGTATGCAGCGTTAAGGTCGACATAGTATATCTTTTCGTTTGAGTCGAACTTGTCGCAACCAATTGGTCCAGTTTGTGGAAATTCAAGTGAGTCTCTTATCTTCTGAGAAACTTCTCCTGTTATCTCATAAACATCGTCGAAGCAACCTGTTTCATATAAAACCTTCTGACCTAACTCAGATGCTCTCCAATACAATTTGACGTCAATTGGATGTCTCAATGGAAGTTGTTATAGCATCCTTGCAACCTCATTGGAAGTTCTTCTGGTTCATCCGAACAATCCAACCCCTTGTGGAATTGTGTACTTCTTTTGTACTAGAACTTTGTCTGGAACAACTTTTGGTCTTGCTAACAGTGAAAAGTTTGTTTCGTCTTTTGGTACAAAAGTTTCTGTCAGCTTGTCATCTGGAATTGGTTCCAACAAACCTTTCTCGAAAAGAATGTTTACAGCTCTGACAATGTTGCACTTGCCTTTTCCGAACAATGGGTTTGTAAGACTTTCGTTCAACATGAAGTGGTTGTGGACAATTACAATCTTCAACCATGGTAAATTGAACTCAACAACATAGTCGTCATGTGAAGAACCTTTAGCTGTAGGTATGTTGACTCGGATATTGACATTTGGGTGCAATTTTGCCAATTGACCTCTGAGAATGTACCTTGTCTTCACACATGACTCAAGATACTTCATCTTCTCATCTGTAACAAGACCAGAGTTCCTGAGACATGTAAGAATACAAGGTTCGTTGACAATTGTTTCAATTGAATTGTAAATTCCATACCTTGTCAAGTCAATGTCAGACTTATTTATGAACGGGAAGTATCAGCATGTTGTCTGACTGCTTGAGGGTTAGGTTGGTACCATTCGAACTTGACACTTGCAATTCCTTCAATTGCATTCAAAATGTCTGAGTCGGAGTCAACCATTTGTTCTCTCTTTGTAGTCTTGAAAGCGTCAAGAAGTTTTGCGGCTGTTTGTTCATTGCCATGTGCATAGTAAATGTGACCATCCAAATCTGTTATGGTCAATCTGAGATTGTGTCCTTTCTGATTTCCGTCTTGAATGCAGCAAGTACTCCCATGAAGCCTTCTTTGTTCTTTCCTTCGTCAAAGTTTACTGTAAAGGTTCGACCAGATGTAATTTGACTTCTAACTTCACGATACTTTTCATATGCATATCTTGTTCTTTCCATGGGAGCATGACCATCCTCTGCACTACCTTTTTTCCTTCTCAAAGGATGCAATTGTTCGTCATGTTTCCAGTAGAATCTGGCAAAGCCGTCGTGTCCTTCAACTTGAGGTTCACTAACATCGAAAGGCATGTCCATAAGACGTTCTTCTTCTAACCTCTCTAGTCTGTTTGGATAATTGGCATGTGCTGTTTCCAAATCCATTTCGTAGCGAAGACCAGACAATTTGTCATAGACTTTTATGGGTCTTCCCTTCCTATATTTAAAATTCTTCGAAACTCTCCAACCATATCTTTGTAACTCTGCTTTTATTCTAGCAGACTTTCTATCCATTCTATATGGGGGCATTTTTATAAAAATAAAAAATGTTTTTTTCTTTACTTTACATAACCGCCTGCTGCCATAAGTCTTTGACGCCAACCCATACCAGCTAATGAAGGTTGACTTGGTTTAGTTTGGAAACTAAACTTTGGTTTTGGTTTTTCTTCAGTTTTTGGTTTTTCTTCTTCTATCGGTTTTTCGTCACTTTTCGGTTTCTCTGACTTTACTTCACTTGCAGGAACAGTTGTGTTGTCAACATCTTCATAAATATCATATGCCATTTGTTTTTGTTTTCCTTTCAACTTTTTGTGTTTGTTGTAAAGTTTAGAATATTTCGACTCTAAGTCAATGAGATGTTCTATAATGAACTGTTGGTCAGTGAAGTAAACTTTTCCATCTGTTGTCTCGAAAGCTCCTTCAGACTTCAATATTTTATTTGTGAGAGTCTGTTTCTTTTTTGAGATACTAGCCGTTCCATTTCTATGAAAAGTGACTTTATAGTTAGGGTTTGTATTTCCAGACCTGGCACTTTCTATTATTGAATTTTTCTCTTCATCGGTAAGTTCTTTGACAGGTTTTGACAATGTTCTGAATTTTTGTTTGTGGGTGTCAATCTACCGTTTTCAACTTCTTCGGTCATTTCATCTCAGTAAAAATTTTAGTTTGGTTTGTTTTCAAACTGGTTGTTTAGGTTTTTTAAGTCGGTCTATAAAACTTCCTGAGGTATAGGAAGAACTTGACAAACACGTGGTGTAACTGCTGGAAGCCGAAAAATCCATCTTGAACCCCATTTGTCTCAATGCTGTATTGTTCATTTCATCTCAGTAAAAAATTTTACATTCCCCAAGTTTGAGGTGGTTGCGGTTGGTTATTGTTTACCCACTGTTGTGCATGGTTATATCCTCTGTTAAAGAATCTTTCACCTTGGTCCATATAGTGTCCTGCTTGGTTATAGTAGTCATTTGCTTTGTTATAGATAGTTTCCTGCTGTGTCTTCCTACATTGTCCATCCATCCTTGATACTTTTCCTCTTGTTTCAGGATTTGGAATAAGATTTGTTGCATCTCGTGCTACATCCCAACCTTTCTGTACAGTTTGTATAATAGGTTGTGCTTTCTCTTTCAGTATACCTAATGTACTCAAAATCTTCCTTCCAACTCCAATACACCTCTGGCTATTGTTCCCATGCGGGCAAAAATCTGGATGCAACTCCTGCTAATGCGCCAAATAAACCCATTTCTTATGGGTTAAAAAAATGACGAATCCAAACAAGGACCCCTATGTTTCTAAGGCAACAAAGAAAGCACTCATGATAAAAATCTTTAGTTCAACACCAAATGCTTGGTTTATGGATATCTTGGAAAACATTCCGAGGTATAGAGAAGATGGACCACCATACTGGTTAATATTTGTTGGTCAAAACACAAGATACTGTGAAGCCATACCATTATGGTCCAAAAATATTTTAGATGTGAAAACTGCTTTGACAATATTCGTTGACAAATACCATCCAACAAAACTGACATCTGACTGTGAAAGTTCTTTCAAATCAGATGATGTAAAAAACTATCTGCGTTCAAAAATGTAAACCAATATTTCATTGTCGACCAAAACCATTCTGCTCTTGGTGTCATTGACGGTTGTATAAAAATGTTAAGAGACTTAAACCAACCACAAGGTGGTGAAGCAAATGAAATGTCATATGACGACAAGTATAGACACTTCTCCATGGCAAAGATGAGACAAGTTTTAAATATTTACAATAACCGTAAACAAAAAGGTTTGGGAAACCACTCCCCCGAAGAAATGAAAACAACCCTGACTTAGAGAAAGACTATATATTTAATAATTTAGTCAAAAGAGACAAACAAGAAAGAATGCCGGGCTTCAAACTTCAGAAGGTGACAAAGTAAAAATAGAAATACCTAAACGCGACCCATATGAAAATACTATTGACTATGACAACAATGGGAACCCGACAGGTACTCACATTCGTGTTCGTAAAAATAGAAGAAAGTATACAAGAGAATATTATGAAGTTTTAGGCAAACATGGCAAAATGTACACACTGCAAGCAGAAGATAAAACTACTATTGTCAGACCTCGTTTCAAACTTGTCAAAGTTCAAGGTGGTATACTTTCAAAGACAGTTCCTAACAAATATAAGACAACTCCTGACGAATATGCTAAAGAAGTTGAAAATGACGACTAAGCATTTCTATACCATGCGTAAACTGTCATGTAAGGTGGCATATATTCTTTACTTTGTCCCGTTGTTTGCGTATATCCTGAAACGCGATGTGTATGGTTTCCATCTCCCTGAGTGTTACCCCAGAAACAATTTATAGCAAACTGAACGTCGTCTTTAACATCATATCCTTTACCTTTTTTCATTGCTGACCAATCCCAAAATTTATGCTTATGCCAACCTGCTTGAGATGTACTTAAATCTATGTAGTGACTGTGTGCAGGTAAATTTTCACCTGAAATCGTTTTACTTCCACCTGTTTCCTTTGAAGAGTTTGCACAATACAAAAACCTGTCGACTATTTGAGTCCAAGTTCCAAAACCCAGAACTGTTTCTGGATTTGTTGAGTTCATTGACGTATAAATAGAGCCTATAGGATATAATGTTTGAAGTATTTCTGTCTTTAATGTTTGAAGCTCTGTTTTGTCTGCTTTCTTGTCATATAAATCTTGAGCAGTGAATTTAATATTATGTTCATCCTTCATGACATAAACATCTTTACATCTAATGTTTCTCATCGTCGTTATGTCGTCATCCGATGTTAAACCTTGTGGAAAGTTAGGAGGTTTACAATATAATGCATCCCCACCAGTTTCTTCAACCGTTCCTTCAATACTTTCTATAGCAACAGTTGTAAAACTTGTATGTGTATGGTTCTTGTCTGCTTTCTTTTCAAGGCTAACGTTTAAGTCTGTTATTTCAGAAGATGTATGTGTATGTCCAACGTCACTTTTCCTGTTTAAGGTTTCTTGTAAGTTTGTAATATCAGATATAGAATGTGTATGAGTCTTATCTGCTTTTGTCTCTAATGTTTCCTTAAGACTTGGTATTTGGTTAATATAATGTATATGAGTCTTTTTAGAATATTCGTTTTCAGCTCTTGTCACTTCACTTGACATTTTATTGTCAACATATGTTTTGTCTGCTAGTTCAGGATGAGTATGTTCTTTTGTTGCATAAGCATTGTTAGCTCTTTCTTCTTCTTTTGCTATTGCATCGTCTACATATTCTTTGTCAGCTTTGTTGTCAACATCTGCTTTCAAAAGAAGTTCATTTATAGGTTTCTCGTTTAAAGTTCCTTTTGTTGGGTTTATACAGACAGTATTGTTCTTCTTGTCTTGAAACAGAAACTCATCTGTCATTGGGTTTAATGTCAGTTTTAAGTTTCCTTCTTTCAATGACTCAGATATCTTAGAATAGTTTGAAAAGTTTGTTGTGTTCTTATTTAGAGCTTGCATAATGAGTTGTCGGTTGTGTTGTATTTCTCTCATGGAAGCAATATCTTTCGACATTTTTATTCTAGATAAAATATGCTTTCAATAGAAAAGAAAATTCAAGAGTTGCTACAACTAAACCATTAGATGAACTTTTTACTAATGTCGGTCAAAAGTTTGAGACAGAGACCGTAAAGCATGAAGGCTATCGTTTTGACTACCCATTAAGATGGTTAAGAGACCCATCTGTCACAAAAGCTATTGGCTTTCGTAGAATAAAATTTGTGTCTGTAGAAGATAAAAGTTTTCCATTTATTGTAAGGTTTCATATAGATTATATATCTGAAGGGAAACGAAAAATGTGGGAAGAAATTGAGCTAATACAAGTTGACCTTTCATCTTCTCTACAGACTGCGTTAAAAAATATAGAAGATAAAATAAATTCATGTTATGCAAAATATGCTGATGAATATGCAAATACCGAGAGCACACTTTATGTGAGAATTGTATATGACAAACAAAATTCACAAGTGTCATTTCAAATCTACGAAAACAATCCAAATAAAGACGAACAAATATATACAGAATTCACTGCAATGTCATGGTATTATTTGCAAAGAATGTTAAATCAGAAAGTCAAACTTCCTTTAGCAAATATTTACAGTCGATATGCAAGAGATGAACCATATTTATTTAAAGATGTTTTCGACCCAGCTGCTATTATTGTTCATGCTTCATTTTCTGGCGCTCAAAACTCTTTTTATGCTTGGCAAATGACTTTTACGAAAAACCTACAAAGTTATATGAACCGCCGAGTGGAAGTATTTCAGACTTTCAAGTATGGTTTACTACAGATGGAAGAAAAAGAATAATTCCATTATACCATGCGTTTTACTTAGAACTTAGTTTCATATACAACTACTATCGAACGGTAAAAATATAATTTTTTAATACGGTTGAGGTGTTGGATTTGGTTGCCAACTAGACTGTGGTGCAGGTTCAGGCTGTTGTATAACAGGAGCTTGCTCTTCTGGTTCAGGGTCTTTAGGTATAATACCAACGAACTGACCTACTCTTTACCAATATTTTTGACTCCGTTCCAAATTCCTTTTCCGACAGATTTTATTCCATTCCATATACCTCTTCCAACTCTTCTGAAGAAGTTTCCAATACTACTGAAGAAACCCATTTTACTATATGTAAAAATCTAATGTCCACCTAGTCTCTTACGTTTCCTGTTGAGTTCCATAGCATTCTTTAACTGGAGCTCATACATTCTGTTTCTCCTCTGGTAGAAAACATATTCTGGTCAACTCCTGTGTTCGCGTCATCTGCATAAAGTTGTTTATATCCCACTTCAGGGTTTGTATAAAACTCTTTCCATCTCATATTTGCATACCATGGTGGCAAACCTAACGCAGCGTCATTTGACATGGCAGTTTGCATTTGTACATCTGTTGGCACTTGACCATAGTTTGCCATTGCAGTTTGTATTCTAACTTCATTTGGAATATTCTCTGGGTTTGGTTGTCCAGGTTGCTGTGCATTCGCTAAGTTCTGTGCGTCCATTTAATATTAGATAAAAATATCTCTTACGAGTACATATGCTGAACATTTGCAGGCATTGGTTCATCTTCATATTCTCTGTACTTTTCTGCCACGTCAAATAAATAAATGACACAATGGAAAAAACCTAAAACAAGTAGTCCTATTTCAAACCACATTTACTTACTAATAAAATTTCTTTATTGTGACACTTTCTCCAGTTTATAGGACCTCTCTCATATTCTATCTTGTCATATATAAACTCATAGTCATGTATGTCCTCTAACCATCTCATAACGGTTTCCAAACCACTTTTATCGGATGTAAAGTAAAAGCATGGATGGTTATGTATAACGTCTAAAGTTTCTAAAGAGTCTCTCAAAGTCCAGTCTACTTGGTATTGAAAATCCCATGTGTTATAGAACGGCGGGTCCACTATAAAGAAAACATTTTCCTTGTCTTTATATTTTTCATACAACTCTGTCCAATGACATCTCACAAACTCTATACCCTCAATATATTTTTCTATGTCCTCTTTGAAAACATTTGTATAGTTAAGATATAAAACTTTTGACATAAGTGTTTCAATGTCATGAACTCTTATAGAACCACTATATAATAGTCTAGCAGATATACTATCCCAGTCTATATATTCTGCTTTTTTCAAAACCTCTCTCACAATATTTTTCTTATCTAATGGTATACGTTCCATCTTACCTATAGGTATCTTTTCTTTTAACTCTTTCAATATATTGTTTGTGTCTGGAATATGTTTGAGACGGTCCATATAGTTGTCGAAGTCATTGCATATAATCTTTGAGTCGGGGAATATTATATGACATAAATGGGATATATAGAAACTTCCACCGAACAAATCTACAAATGTTAGACCATTCGGTAGTTTCTTAAGTTCTCTCAATATAATATCTTTACATCTACTCTTATTTCCAAAGAACGGTAACGGTGGTTTTGTAAAATTCATTTATATATAATAATAAAAATGTTTTTACCCGAAAAGTGACAGAAAAGTGACAAAGCATGAAAACATATATAATTTGTGAAAAGTGAAACATTATATAATGTTTTCGACCCAGAAGACTAACAATTTTCCGAATAAAAACTTCATTTATACTAAACATCTTCAGGGCTAGAGGGCGCAACGCGCCTGGAAGCCTTCCCAATAAAAACTTCATTTATACTAATCATCTTCAGGGCTAGAGGGCACGAAGTGCCTGGAAGCCCCACTACCTTTTTTTTTTGAAGAATCCAAAATTTTATTTTTAAGGTTTTGCAAGAAATATTTTTATTAATAAACGGTAGAATAATAATAGGAATATCGATATTAAAAAAGAAATACATGAAATAAATAAAAATTTGATTCAACTTTGACAAGAATCACAAATGATTCTTCTCAAAGTTGCTCAGTGAACAACAAACACTTGTTATTGTTTATAATTCAAGTGAATGTTGTACACAAAGACAACAATTGTCTATCAATTGTTGTCTTTGATTCAACTTTGACAAGAATCACAAATGATTCTTCTCAAAGTTGCTCAGTGAACAACAAACACTTGTTATTGTTTATAATTCAAGTGAATGTTGTACACAAAGACAACAATTGTCTATCAATTGTTGTCTTTGATTCAACTTTGACAAGAATCACAAATGATTCTTCTCAAAGTTGCTCAGTGAACAACAAACACTTGTTATTGTTTATAATTCAAGTGAATGTTGTACACAAAGACAACAATTGTCTATCAATTGTTGTCTTTGATTCAACTTTGACAAGAATCACAAATGATTCTTCTCAAAGTTGCTCAGTGAACAACAAACACTTGTTATTGTTTATAATTCAAGTGAATGTTGTACACAAAGACAACAATTGTCTATCAATTGTTGTCTTTGATTCAACTTTGACAAGAATCACAAATGATTCTTCTCAAAGTTGCTCAGTGAACAACAAACACTTGTTATTGTTTATAATTCAAGTGAATGTTGTACACAAAGACAACAATTGTCTATCAATTGTTGTCTTTGATTCAACTTTGACAAGAATCACAAATGATTCTTCTCAAAGTTGCTCAGTGAACAACAAACACTTGTTATTGTTTATAATTCAAGTGAATGTTGTACACAAAGACAACAATTGTCTATCAATTGTTGTCTTTGATTCAACTTTATTAAAATTTTAATTATATCTTTTAATTTATATTTATTTACGTTCACATTTCTTTTATATCCTTTATATTAATATAAAATTCCGGTTGATCTTCACTCTTTTTCACATATTTTTTCAATAAGATACCCAATTTTGTATTTATTCTGATTAATATTTTTCACTGTTAATTTTATTGATATCTCAAACTATTTCAACATTTAGTTTTTTAAAAACTCTATTTTTTGTTCTCTCTCTCAATTTTCAAAAGTCATTAATTTTGCATTACTTTATTTAAAATATAATTAACATTGGATAAAAACATTTATTATAATGCCATTTTGGATCAATCTTATGATATTTCAAATCTTTGAAAATACACTCATTCATAACAAATAGTTGCCCTAGACATGTGCGTAACCTCTGTGTACGATATTCCAACACCTTACGACCTGTATGCAAGTTTTTAATTATTGAATAAAAAAACAACAACATACCGTACTTCGAGTATAAAACATGTATACCCTAATAAAAACAAAAATTAGGACATATTTGATTTATGATTTCTTTTCACAAATCGAAATTTTGATCTCTCAATTTTAAACATTTTTCAAAAAAAAACTTATAAATATATTTCTTATTGTATAATATTGAAAAATAAATCATCATGGATGAATATTACTAGTACTTCAGAATTATTTATTTTTTTCGATCTAAATATAGAAATAATATCTACTCTATATAAAAATAACAATTATTTAATTTTATTGAAATTTGTATTATTTGATTAATATATTTTATGTGATATCTTAAATAGCAATAAAAACTACACCACATAGTTATTCTAGGGTACCCTCATCTACTTCTAGAATTATAGGCTCTGGATTCGAATCTATGGTGCGCTATTGATAAAGTAAATTTCTCCATAGGCCCCCAAAAAATTGACAACCCAGGAATTATAGGGTAATACCTTTAATTTTTTAGATAAACATAATTCACAACACTTGATCATAAATTTTTGAAAATATTTTGGATCATTATATAGCTGCATTAAGTCATAAATCAGTGATTAACTTTATATGGCATCATCCCTGAAAACATTTATGCTTATTTAATAAATCTATGTTTCTAATGTCTCATTTATTTTCTGTGCTTCTTTGGGAAACAATAAGAATTACCGAAAAAGTGACAAAACATCAAAAACAGGGAGGGGGTCTCAATTTTTATTACTTATATTATTTTACAATATTTATATAAATACTCTTTATAATATATTTTACTATAAAATTATACCTCAAATTCAAATATTTAAAATATTATTTACATAATTATCGCAAAATTGTATTTTTATATATTATTTTTCATATGTATAAATCATATAATCTATATCTATGCAAATCTCATCTAAAATTTTTTGAAACAAACCGCTACCATTTTATAATGGTCCATCTTAAATTCATCATAAATTCTGGTACATGTTAGTACCAGAGTCTTCAAATCTCAAACACTCTGGTACCAACATGTACCAGACGCGAGTTTCCAATGCCCTCGTACGATTTTCTATTAAGATCTTCTTGAATGAGAAGGTCTTCATAGAAACTCGTACGAGGGCTTCTCTTTTAAATACTCTGGTACCTGCTGGTATCGGAGTCGACTTTACAGCCCTTTCCCCAATTTTGAAGCTGGGGAAAGTTTTCAAGCAATGAAAGGGAAGCTCTCGCTATGAGGTGAAAATCTAGAATTTTTACCTCATAGCGAGTAATCCTTTGTTAATTGCTTGAAAACTTTCTTCAAATTATCAAAATTTCGAGGAAAGTTTCCTTGCTTCAAAGTAGAGATGGAGCCCTTTGAGCCACTGCATATAGGTCAGTGACTCAAAATACTCCATCTCTACTAGAAATCGCCAAAATTTGGGTCGCAATCTTTGAAATGCGACGCAAGTTTTGGCAATTTCGCGAGGGACTTGCTCCATTTGGTGCATAGATTCACACTCTATGCACCAGATGGAACAATTCTTTCGCTGACAGCGGGAAACTTTGTCTGAATAGTTTAACATTCAGACAAAGTTTCCCGCTGTCAGAGAGGGAATGAAGGGTAAGAGGTATATATTCATAATGTATACCTCTTACCCTTTATTCCCTCAAGAAAGTTCAAAAACTTGGGTGCAATCAGAACTGATTGCACCCAAGTTTTTGAATTTTATAAGGAATTGTTGGCTATGATGTACTGATCATGAATCAGTACATCATAGCCAACAATTCTACCTTTTAACCAAAGATAATTGATTCGTATGTAAAATATTAAGCTAAAATTTCTCTTTCTTTTAGTACACATTCTTCCATTTCGTGTACATGTATCATATATTAAGTACTAGTTATCTATTCTATATCCTTTATCCCAATTTAGATACTCAAAGATAATTCTTTTTCAGAAGAAAAAAAATATTTTCTATTAAACCGTTATTTTTTCAATGTGAGTTTTCAATTTTATTTTTCCTTTTTGCTGCTCAATGCAACATCCTCCACCCGATCCTCCATGCGAGGTTGATCAAGCCATAGGATATTTAGAATATTCTCGTTTTGTTATAGCTGCAGAGCTGCATGGTAACATAAGATTTGTCAAAGACCCACAAAAACTATCAATTGGAACAGGAGTATTAATCTACCACCGATGCGAATACGAAGGCTGCCCAGCAGGCTTTAAATTTATTAAAAATTTCGACAATTACATTTTTAAATCTGCAAACTTAACTCATATTCACTCAGGACCACCACCACAACATAAAAATACACCTACAAGTGGTACTTACCGTGCTTGGATTAAAAAATTTCTCATGAATCACGGAAGTCCACTTAATGCAACACAAGAAGTCAACAAAACGCTTGAAATACCTAAAGATCATACTTGTATTCACATGACTATGAAACAAACTGCAATCAATCAATTGAAATATTATTTACAACAAAAAGATCTTATGAGATCTTTACCAGACATATCTTTAAATCAATTTCAATCTTTACAAAACTATGTTAATCAATGGGAAGATCAACATGATGACCTTATTTATTTTGACATTCAAGGTGAAGATACTGATTTTCCAGACAAATTGGTTTTTATTTACTCTGATAATGATATGATCTCTCAAATTCATGAAAAACCACCAATTTATCACTTAGACTCTACGTTTAAATTAATTATTCATGGATTTCCTTTTTATGTATTAGCTACCAAATTTGCTAATACTCATTCTATCCCTTTGTGTTATTTTATAATATATCCAGATAATAGTGAAAATATTTCTTTTTGCTTAAGTAAATATTTTGAAACAACTCACACAGAACCTGAATTTATCATGTCTGACTGTGCACTAAACATTTTCAACGGGATTAGGAATTCATTTCCGGAGTGCAATATCTTTTGGTGCGCGCTACATGTAATACGCGCACTTAAAAAGAATCTCTCAAAGATAAATGATGAAGAGATTAGATCAGAAGTCGAAAAATTTATGAACATTTTATGTTATTATCGTGATTGCACAGAAGAAGATGCTGCAAAAATGTATAAAGAGCACATTATTGATAAAATTCAAGATCAATTGGAATTTAATCAATACTTTACACGTCAGTGGGACATTCATAAACAACAGTGGATAGCCGCTGCCAGACCAAATGAATTAACCGTTGTGAATAACGTTTCTGAATCTTTATTTAAAAAGATAAAATATCACGATTTTGGCTGCGTTAAAAATCAAAGAATTGATGTTTTTGTCAAAATTTTTTTAGAAGAAGTTGCACCCAATTATTTTTATCGTATTAAAAACGATTTACTTCAAACAGGTTTTATTCCTTCAATTAGAATTCGCGAGCCTCGATTGACAGATTATAAAACAAAATTGAAAAGAGAAGTTCAATCACGTTTATACCAAGTATTAAATTTTGTTCAGAATCAAGAAGCCAATTTGAATCCATTAAGATTTTTATTGGAAAATGCTGAAGAAAAACTTTCTCAAATAAATGAGAAGATACAAAATTCAATTACATATTTAAGATCGTTTGAAATTCCAAATGAATTGTTAGATACGTATATGTTAGAAATTAATGAATTTTGTTATAATTCTCCAGATTATATTTTAGAACATTTCGAAGAATTTTTGGAGGATTTCAAAGAAAAGAATAATTTAATAGACTAAAAAAATATTATTTTTATTTATTGTGAATTTTAAATTGTCACTTTTTAACTGTTACCCCCTATTGAAGTGTCACTTTTGGGTGTCACTTTTTTCGGAAATTCTTATATACTCTGGCATCATCCCTGAAAACATTTATGCTTATTTAATAAATCTATGTTTCTAATGTCTCATTTATTTTCTGTGCTTCTTTGGTAGTTTTTGGTTTGGGTTTATCTTTTTTGCCAAAATGATAGTTTATCAATGAATTCTTGTGGAGGTTTTCAAGAATCATTATGCCATTCGTTAATTTTGATAAAGTACTCATTGTTTTCATTGATTATAATGTCGAAACTCGCACCATATTGACACTTCATTGATAGATTTATCCTTTTATAGTTTAAAAATATGTAATTTTCCATATTGTAATATAAACAATCGTAGAGAGCTTTATAAGGAGAATAATCTAGCTTGTCCTGCATATACATGTGCCCATAATAAAAATGAACTAACCTCATCATAAAAAAAACATATAAAAACTCTCAACATAAAAACTATGTGTCTCAGTGATAATGGTACAATTTGTTTCAAAGTGAATATTAAAATAATAGTGTTTGTAGAGAATGAATGATATTATAATATTCAGTAATGTTTATAAAACTCGCAATTCATACTCAATAATTCATTTAAATTATAATTAATTAAACTATATCATACCGAAATGCATCACTAGCAAAAGTGACATTTGGCGCCAATTTTAAATTAGTGGATTTTGTGTTTATTATTTAAGAAATATAATTGATAAAATATAATTAACAAAATATAATTAACATTAATAGAATAATATGGATAAGATTTGATAAAAAACAATCATAATTTTTTTTGGGCGCCATATAGAGAACTATAGTCTGCGAGGTACTGATTCTATCCATGTACCTCGCAGACCATAGTTCTCAGCCAAAATGGCTGATTCCTTGCATTTTCGTTTTCAAGTCCAGCTGTCCATATAAAATGTTCTTTTTCTTCATCTTTTGTGGAATGTAAACAATATTCTGGTGAATGATTTCCAATTAGATGATCTACGGCGTGGAGCCAATAAAATAGCTTCTATTCTTTGGAAATATGCTTATCCAATAAAGTATTAAAGAATATTTTGAGTCTGTTTTTGATACCATGAAAAATTTTTGAGTCGACGATAGACATGTCACTTTTTGCATACTCATTAGAAGTAAGACGTTTCCAGCACAATTCGAATTTCTTTTTGCAATGGAAGCCATCTTGATATTCAACAGCATCAGGAAAATGCTTATGAACAATATTACGGAATTTATTATCCCTATCATGGCAAAAACCGTCAACAATACCTTTTCCCACCGTATCTTCCAAAATTTGAAGAGCCTGATCAGCGGCAACAGATTCCATTTGGCATGAGGCATCAGTATAATTTCCAGCTTTACCTTTACGAGATCTAACGATTACGAATTTTGCCACAATGTCACCTTTAGGACCCATTGCTACAAACTCACACTCGTCTGCATTTCTAACATGAGAGAAATGAGCATCGATGGTGATAACAGTTCCAGGCTCAAGTTGCAATGCATGATTTTTTACACTTTTTTCAGCTAATTCCTGCGCTTTCTCGAGAATCACCTTTTGAATCCTGTAAAAGTATTGTGAAGATGGTACATCTATACCAGCCTCTCTTAATAAGTTACTTGCTTCTTGATATGTTTTACCGCAAATCAAAGTGGCAAATGTAAACGATTTGCCATCTAATTTAATTAGATCACCGAATCCTTCATATTGGACGCGAATAATCTCAGAACTTGTGGCATCATGTACCTCCTGTGATGTCATTTGTCAGTTTTTTGTTTCTTCACTTCTGAATACGACACCTTGAATTATGGGTTTATTTCTAATAATTTTGTAATGCATGAAAAATAGCGTGACTTCATTTTTGACAGTTTACAAATGTAAAATGTTGCATCCTTAAAAACTTGGAAATATATACATTCATGAATTATCTTGTATATTAATTGAAAATCCATAAAACCCTAACAATATTTTTTCTTAAAAAAACTATAAAAATATAAATAAAATTAATCGTTAAATAAAAATATTTGATATTAGAATTTTATTGGAAAAATAAAAAACTTAATATTTTAAAGAAATACTTAAATACTTGAATGTTTTAACTTTTACATTATCATATAGACTCTCAAATTATTGATTGGAAACGGTTTGAGGGTTATCAATTTAAAAAAATTGTGAGTTTTTTAGATTTTTGGCAATGTTAAACGGTTAATTTTTTCTCAAAAAAATTATTTCTAATTTCCGAAATTTTTAGCCATTTTGGCTGAGAACTATGGTCTGCGAGGTACATAGATAGAATCAGTACCTCGCAGACTATAGTTCTCTATATGGCACCGAAAATTTTTGGTGAAATGTCGTCGCATTTCACCAAAAATTTTTCGGCGCCATAGGAAGAATTGGAGGGTGAGATACTATTACATGCTATAGTACTCACACCCTCCAACTCCCAATCAAAATCGCATAAAATTTGCTACTTATCTTCAGATTACCTCCCATTATAAAATATATCATTGCTATCTCATCGTACTATACTTCCACCCTATTGTATTTAAAAATATAAAATTTTTTGATAATATATTTTTATATCTTGAATTTTCAAACAATATATTCACAGATAATATAATGGGAAATCTATCTCAACCTAGCCTTAAAGTACCAAACTCCTGCTTGCATTCTCACTCACAAATATTAAAAATCCATCTCCAAAAAACTAAATTCTTCACAATTTTTTTAAAATTGAGAACATAAAAAACGTATGCATTCAATAATTTAAGATACTAACAAATATTAAAAACTTCAAAATATCAGATATTAACGTTTTTCAATTAAAAAAATATCATTTTGCTTTTCAATTCGAACATAAATCTTAAATATTTTTAATTAATATCTGATTTACAGCATTATTATCCATTTATAAATCTGACAAATAAATGACAAAACCATCAGAAATACTGTCAGTTTTTGTCAAAAGTGAAGTCACGCTATTTTTCATGCACAACATATTTCTAATAATTTACAATTTACTAATAGTATTCTTTTGGGGGGATACTGACATTCAACGTAAAAACGAGAATGTTTCGAAATAATAAAAATTTAATATAATATTAAGTCATTTTTAAATATTTCTGTCTCAACCCTGAATGTTTATTTCCCTAAAAAGAGATTGCCATAGGTCTATGGAAATTGACCATAAATAACTTAGAGCTATGGAATAAATTGATTTTAATTTATTTTTTTAGAAACTATCTTTTTTAGAGTGAAAATATAAATTGTTGGAATTTTCCTTACCATATTATTTTAATACAATATAGACAGATGCTTTATTCTACAACAAAAAATACAGGAATCGATTTTTTGTCGAAATCTTAAATATAATGAAACAATAAAATCTTAATTATATCTATTATGATTTGAATATTTAGAAGTATAACAAATGATAAAAATAATCATATGAAAATCAATGATGTATTCTATGTTTTTTTAACTAGAAATGATATCAGTGAAGTCATGTGTCAGATTTTTGTTGACTCGACCTTTAAATATATCCATATAATTCTCATGTTTTCTTTTAATTTAAAAAATAATAATAATTAAAAATAAAAATAAAAATAAACTTTTCTATAATATTTATAAAGCTGATTTGATATATAACACATTTAGCTTAACAAAATAACTTAGAAAAATTGCCGCGCAAAATAAGAGTGAGTGTCACTTTTTGTCACTTTTTCTAGTGATGCATTTCGGTACGGAACATTATAATTAATTAAACTTTATAAATAAAGAATTTCGGAGTGTGGGACAAACTATCCAGTGTCACTTTTTATTAACCTTATTTTAAAAAATTAATAAAATAATAATAACAAATTATTTGAATCTTTTACATTAATTGTTTCTTTTTTAAAAGTACCTTTAAAGTACAATAAACAAGATTTGAATCTATTGATCCTTGTTGCAAACTTGAATATATTGCTTCAAGCATTTTTGAGGGTAGCCCATGCTAGCTTTTATCTCTTCTTGGATACCAAACTGGAGGAGCTCCATAGTGTTGAATATCACGGGCTCCATACAACAAATTGAATAAGGTATTTCAAAATTTGAAGGAAATGGTCCATCATTGAATGTAGTGGCCGGGAATTGAATGACATACAGATAGTTTGAGGAAATTTGTTATAAATTATAATATAATTGAAGAATTAATTATCAAAACAAGTCTAAGAGCCATTTGTCAGATTTTCCCGAAATGCAAGGTTAAGATTTTAGCAGCGACTAACTTTGAGTGTACATATATAATTGTTATACTGAGTACTTTCTATCTGTGTTACTTATTTGAGTCTAAGAGTCATTTCTACCACAGAACTAGATATTGTCTCTCATTAAATATATATAACTGTAAACTGCTTAATTCATTTATCTATTTAGATAAAATTATATTTATATAAGATTTCATGTTATTATTTCATCTTTATTATTTTTTTTATTCCTTTGAAAAGTGACACTGGATAGTTTGTCCCTTTCTCAGAATTTCGTAAATCATATGTTTTTATATTAAATTTGTAGCTTTTTTCCTTTATTCTTCCAATTGTGAGATTTTTTGGAAAGTTTTTATTCAATTTTGGTTAAATATATTCAATTTCATATTTAAAACCATTTTATTTCTATTTATTAAATTAATTTTTGAATAGTTAAAATAAATTTCAATTCAATTTTTAAACAGATGTTTTGATGGGGCTTGCATACTGATAATATGCTCGTCCCATCAGAACATTCATAGAAAAACTCTTTCTTTTTTGATGCAATAGACTACAACCCTTATCCTTTGAGCCAAGTTGCTCCGCGTCGTTCCTCATTAGGATCGATCGGAGAGGAACTTGGCTCTGAACGAAAAGTATAGGCTCTGGCTTTAGCAAAGGCTAGGGCTTAGTTTTAAATGC